TTTTTTTTTTTTTTTTTTTTTTTTTATTTTTTAAAAAAAAAAAAAAAAAAAAAAACAAAAAAAAAACAAGGATCGAGCCAGCAAAAAAAAAAAAAAAAAAAAACAAAATACCAAACGAACAATTAAATCGTAATGGCATTAGTTCATATATCTCTTAATATTCCGAAGAACAGTTGAGAAAAAAATTTATTTTATTATAAAACAAAACCCTCAATCCGTTAACAGTAGGGTAAATAAAGTAAAAAAACATACCGAAATCAAATCTATATCTAGGAATTTAGCAACCAAGGCTCTGATACCACTTGTTAGGATTAATCTCAAAATAATTCCACAATTAACCTTCGTTGCAAACCACTAGATTCAAAAAATAGTTGAATAAGAAAAGGCCGCGTACCTGACATCGTTGCTTCGTCGATTCTTGATGTGCATAATTATGTTTGCAGCCTTCCAGAGAATTGAAGAATCGATTTTGCGTAGGGAAGCAATACGAAAGGAACGGTTAAAAACTTAATCGTATTCAACTCCTCTGGGGACCACGACCTTTATATTACCTGTAGGTTAGTACAATTCCCTATTTCGGTCCTTTAACGAAATAGAAATTATATAATAGGTCTTACACTTAATATTCTATAATTATGATACCTCAATAGTCAATATTCACAATCAAGGGGGACCACATTTGAAATTGGACTTTTACAATTAAGGACTGCACTGGTACATATTTAATTTTTACATATTAAGCCCACAATAGAAAAATTAAAACTCCAAACATTTTTATCAAATTTTACAACTCTAAATAAATTTGTTTATTACATATACACTTGACTTTAAAAAATAAAAGTCTAAAAAAAGGAAAAAGTAGCAAAAAAAAAAAAAAGAAAAAGAAATTACTTTGTCTAAAATTATATTGTTTTGATAACAATTAAAGTTTACCATTGTTTTTTTTTCCTGGTTTAAAGTTTTTTATTAGTTAAAATCTATATTATTAAATATTTTTAAAATTTTTTTTTAATAAATTTATTGATTATTTAGTATTTATTTATAAAGTTAATGAATTTTATTTTCTTATATGAGTATGAATATTGTAAAAGTATTTAAATATAAATTTATTATATTTTTTTTCAAATTTAGGATTTTTTTTTTCTTTTGAAAAAGGACTTGGCTTTAGAAACGAATTTGTATTCTTTGTTTTTAAAAAAAATAATATCAAACCTGTGGTCTAAATCGTCTGTTCATTGAAACTATGCTGGGATGATTAAATTGGAAATTAAATGAATCCACAATTTATTAATAGGCAATTTAAGGGTTAACATTTAAAAAATTTTGAAATTATTGGATTTAGTGTGTAGCATTTCAAAAACTTTGATTATTTGAATTTCTTGTTGAAATTGAGCTGGTCAACCTACATCTGACATTGGAATTGTTGGATGTATAAATAAATTCCATTAGAATTTATGTTATTAGTAACACATTATTACAAAAAAAAATCTAACAAACCGATTAGTTTCCACTGAAAAATTTTAAATTATGATCCAATTATTTAAAATATCAAGCAAAATTGAATTAAATAGATTCCATTTGGTTTTGATTTTTCAATTATATTACTTGATTATATTAGATAAATACCAAAAAGATATTTGAATTGACTACATTAAAATACAGTAATGTTAAGAACTTCTGTTAAGGGAATACTATTATATATTATATAATGTGAATTTCCAAAAGGTTGATGTTACTTGCCCTATTAAATACTTGAAGAACGTAGCAATTGCTTCCAATATTCTTTCTATAGTTAGCATAAACATTCATATATTGGCTTTCCAACTTCAGCTTCAAAGAGGGAACTTTAACCACGGTAATATTAATGTCTATTTATTATTATTTATTATTATTTATCATTTTATTCTATCATCATAATAAACAACTTGGTCTGATGATTTTTGTTGGTACTACAACTATACCTCATTATAAAATATTTAATTGGTTTTGATTCATTAATGGATCCATAGGACTGAGTCTAAGTAGGTCAAAAACCATAAAAAAATTGGGCTAAAATTTTGTGAATTGTTTTAATTGTCACCCTAAATATAACTTTCTTCTCTCAATTTACCCTGAATTTAAAATCGAATTATTAATTATACCCTAATTTGGAATTCGAAAGTCCATTTATTTAATGTACTTATATACAAATTCTCGTGAGGAACGATATTCTTACTCATTATATAATTACTTTAAGCAAATTTCGACTTGTCACAGTGCCAAAATTGATTGAGGATTGATTAGGAATATCTACCAACTTCCATCAAGGGTCTGATATAGTGGAAAAAATATTTGCAGCCTTTAGACTTTGACATGTGATATTATGTACCTTAAATATTCAAAATTAAATAAACTACTCTATAAAATTATTGTTCTGTCAAAGGTTGGTTTGTTGGTGTGCCACGTAAATGGGACCCGCATGTGAAAAAAAAAAGAAAAAAACGTGTGTTATTTGAAAAAGAAAAAAAATTGGCAAAGTTAGCAAAATTTCGTTTTTTTGGGCAAAGTATGAAGACCTCATTCAGTGAACGCCAATAAAAGGAGGCGAGACGAAGTTCATTATATACACAAAAACAACGAGAGAGTGAGAGCAAGTGAAGAGAAACAATTGTGAGAGAGAAAATAAGTGAGATTATTCAAGAAGAAAAATTTAAGCCTCTAATTTTTCGCGGTATTCTTGATAAGAGAGTTGTGAGTGTATGTTAAACACTTTATTTATTTTTTCTCCTATAATATCTACAACTTCCATCAAGGTCTGATATAGTGGAAAAAATATTGCAGCCTAGACTTTGACATCTGAATATTATGTACCGTTAAATATTCAAAATTAAATAACTACTCTATAAATTATTGTTCTGTCAAAGTTGGCTGTGGTGTGCCCACGTAAATGGGACCCGCATGTGAAAAAAAAAGAAAAAACGTGTTATTTGAAAAAGAAAAAAAGTTGGCAAAAGTTAGCAATTTCTTTTTGGCAAAGTATGAAGACGCTCATTCAGTGAACTGCCAATAAAAGGAGGCAGACGAAGTTCATTTATATACACAAAACAAGAGAGAGTGAGAGCAATTGTGAGAGAACAATTGTGAGAGAGAAAAATAAGTGAGATTATTCAAGAAGAAAAATTAAGCTTAATTTTTCGGGTATTGTGTGTGCTGGTCCCTTGAATAGAGAGTTGGAGTGAGTGTATGTAAACACTTTTATTTTTTTCTCCTATAAAAGAATCCTTGGCAGTCTCGGAGACGTTAGGCAAGAATTGGCCGAAATACCTAGTTATTAAATTGGTTATTCTTGAATAGAGAGTTGTGAGTGTATGTAAACACTTTATTTATTTTTCTCCTATAAAAGATCTGTGGCAGTCTGGAGACGTAGGCAAGATTGGCCGAAATACGTTATCAAATTGTGTGTTATTTTTTGACTTATTAGAGATTTTGCGTAATTTTTCCCAACATGTTCCACAGCTTAATATAGATACGATATATTATTAATTACATTGAGGCCTTTGGTTTGAAAGAAACAATAGGTTCTTCAATGTATCTGTTTGTATTGGCACTTCTATGATAATTATTTCTTGTCGCCTAATTAATTAAAATAAATGAATAATTGAAGGTAACATTTTGGAATCGTCGAGATTTCAATCCTTCTCATCGACGTAAGAAGAGAAAATATATTATTTATGTTCCATAATATTTATTATATTTGAAATTTCAAGTCTCTTAAGAAAATCATTAAATTTATATAAATTATAATAAATTATGGAGTAAATTGACTATATTACTCTTAATTTAGTACTAATTTTCTAAAAAAATCATTAAATTAAACTAATAATTATTGATCATATATAAATGATAAGTATGAAAAGAAATATTTACTATTTCTTGAAAATATAAATATAAAAAATACTTTAAATTAAATTATTTTCTCAAACAATTATTACATAACAGTATTATCACGTTAAGATACAGTACATAATTTAATTTGCTTGTCTTCAAGCATTATTGCTGGCCATGACATTGACGACATGAAATGAAACTTTCCTTTGAGAGCCACACAAAAAAATTACATGTACTCATCACCTGGCTAGTTTTCACAGGACATGAGTGATGCGACGATGGTGGAGGGGCTCCACATCATAAATCAATTTCATTCTCAAAATTTTGAAACTTTTCATTTTTCACGTTATCATTTATTCAAATAATAAAAAAAATTAAAATGCATAAGTTTTAAGAAAATTTAGTTTATTTAAAAAATTTATAATCATTTAATCTATTTATACAAATTTACAACTTTAAATAAATTTGTTATTACATGATACGTTTGACTTAAAAAATTAAAAATCTAAAAAAAAAAGATATTTTTTAAATTTACATTAATTTTTTTTTGAAAAAGACTTGGCTTCAGAAATGAATTTCTATTATTTATTTTTAAAAAAATAATATGGAACTTGTGATCCAAAACGTCTGTTTATTGAAACTATGCTGGAACTGATTGAAACTGAAAATCTGAAATTAAATGGAATCACAATTATCAATAGCCAATTTAGGGTTAGCGTTTCAAAAATTTTGAATTATTCGATTTAGGTTTAGCATTTCAAAAACTTTGAATATTGATTTCGTGAACTTGAGCTGGTCATACCTACATTCTGGCATTGAATTATTGGATGTACAAATAAATTCCATTAAATTATGTATAGGTAAACATATACAAAATAAAATCTAACAAAAACCGATTAGTTTTTTCACTGAAAAATTAAATTATAATCAAATATTTAAAATATCAAGCAAAATTGAATTAAATCGATTCCATTCAGTTTGATTTTTCAATTATTATTATTGGTGATATTAGATAAATGCAAAAAGATATTTGATTGACTACATAAATAAAACACGTTAAGAACTTCTGTAAGGCATTTATATATATATGTGTGTGAATTTACATTTTTATATCTCAACTATTATTTTTTTTATAAAATTTTATCTAAAACAGTTCCAAAAGGTGATTGGTACTGCCCTATAAATACTTGAAGAACGTAGCATTGCTCAATATCTTTCTATAATTAGCATAAACATTCATATATGGCTTCCAACTTCAGCTTCAAGAGGGAACTTAACCAGGTATATTAATGTCTATTTATTATTATTATTATATTGAATAATAGGCCAACACCAAGTTCTTTTTTTTTTTTTTTTTTGGCTTCCAAACTTCATCTTCAAGATGGAACTTAACCAGGTATATTAATGTCTATTTATTATTTTATTATATTGAAGTTAATAGGCCAACACCAAGTTCTTTTTTTTTTTTTTTCTTGAATAAAATTTTTTTTTTTTTTTTTTGAATAAAAAAACCAATTTTGTTTTGTTTTTAATTTTTCCCTCAAATATAATTATTAATATTTTTACATCTTTGTTAAAATTAGGTATTATTCGAAGGAGATTCACATTTCAAAAAGGTGATATTGAATAGACCCAGAAAATTAAATATTCTCAGTTATGAAATGGTATGTGATATAGTTACATTTCATCCTTTCAATAACCATTTTACAACTGTTAAGTGAAAAATGATTATTAGCTATATATTTATTATGAACGTTAACTAATTAATGTCTTTTATTTCTTTTCAGATTTCTCAAATGTTAACAAACCTAAGAGCTTTTGAGATGGATCCTACTATCAAATTTATAATTTTAAAGGTAAAAAAAAATGTTTGATTCTTAAAATAAGTTATTAACATAATATTAACTAGCACAAAATATTGAAAATATTAATTGCATAACCATTTATGATAATATTTCATTTTTTCCACTTATAGCGAGGGAAAAACATAAAAGTATTCAGAAATATTATTTCTAAATATTTAGATTGTTGTTAGCAGAATTAAAAAATGATAAGGAAATAGGATTTCTACCATCATCAATTTTATTAATCTTATTGGATTCATGATGTAATTCTACAATTTTCAAATTGTTTTTGTTGTTATTTTCAGTTTATTACTGATTAAAACTCTTTATTATTATCAATTCAATATTTTGCAATAAATCAATTAATTATTTCTTTAATTTTTTATTTTCTTTTCAACAGGGAAATGGAAATGCTTTTTGTGCGGGTGGTGATGTTGTTTCAATTTGTACTTCCATGGTTGCTGGTGAAAATTTATAAGCTTTCAGAAGTTATTATTATAATTTTATATTATTAGGGATTTTAATGTATTATTAATTAATTAATTAAGGTTGCTGATATATAATGTATTCAGGACATTGGAGCTTTGGATTATTATAATTTTATATTATTAGGGATTTTAATGTATTATTAATTAATTAATTAAGGTTGCTGATATATAATGTATTCAGGACATTGGAGCTTTGGAGCAAGATTTTATGAGAAACAGTTTAACCTGGACTACTTACTTGCTACTTATAAAAAACCTTTGGTTAGCAGTTAATTTACAACATTATATATGTTTTAAGTAATCTTTAAAAATATATTTTTTTATTTCATTCATTTTCAATTTTTAATTCTGTTTTTGGGTTGCATAATAAAGATTCCACTGATAGATGGTATTGTAATGGGTGGTGGTGCTGGATTGACTATGCATGGAAGGTTTAGGATTGTCACTGAGAAAGCTGTAAGTTTCTTTTTTTTTTTATTAATTAATTTCAAAGTTAATCAAATAAATTAAAAATGACAGAAATTGCACTTACGTATAATTTATTTTTGTAGGAATACATATCTTATTTTTATTTTCATTTAAATTTATAGGTATTTGCAATGCCAGAAGTTCATATAGGACTTTTTCCTGACCTAGGGGCGTCACATTTTCTTTCTAGGCTTCCTGGGTATTTTGGTAAAATTCTTGTCTTTTTATCAATTCTCTCTTCTTTTTTTTTTTTTTTTTTTTTTTTTTTTTTTTTTTTTTTTGCATTAGTTTTTTTTTTTTTTTTTTTTTTTTTTTTTTTTTTTTTTTTTGCATTAGAAATATCTAAGGTAAAATAGGATATCAAAGATCAGTAATTAAACCACGCGTTCTAGTAGGTTTAATAATAGTTTAAATCGAAGTTAGCTTAAGATTTCTGTTTTAATTTATTTTATTAATCTCTTTCTTAATCAAAAATCGATAGTTCATTAAATTGAAATCGTATAGGTTTGAGGTAAATAATCAATTTATTTTTATTTTTTGGAAAACAGAAAGGGCTTTTATAATTAAAAGAAAACGTGAGTTTTAATAATTAGTTATCAGAAAAGGATTTTATGAGTTCGATTGCCATTTTTTGGGCTATTGATTTTTCTTCTAAACGAGTAATCAGTGGAAATTAATCAATTATTACCTTTTTAACTCGTTAGTCTAATGGGATACTTCAAAAGTGCTGAGGTTCATGTCTATTTAGAGGGATTAAAAGAAACACAAAAACAAAACCCTTTTTATTTATCAAAGGCTCAATACATAATTTAATCCTTGATTTAAAAAAAAAAAATTCTTATGGCACTCTGAACTTTAAAATCAATCTTATTGTACCCTTAACTTGTCTTTCTTAATAACCTGACAACTTGTCACCCTACAAACAATAAATTTTATTTTTGACTTTCATATGAAAAATATTGATTTGATATATGGTTAATACAACTTTTTAAACAATAATTTTTACATTTTTCAACTATCCAATAAGCATTTGACCGATATAATTTTATAAGTTGAGATGTTTAATAGAGTATTTAATAAGTGCAATTTTACAAGCTAAAGTGTTTATAGGTCAAAATGAAAATTGAAGGTACTACAAAATTTTTTTAAAAAAATACATGGGTGAATTTATGTATTGAGTCATTTATCAAATGGTTAATAAAAATTGGTGCCTATCGTTTGAAAAGCCTTTTATTATTCTTTTATTATTTTCTTTTATTATGTTAACGTATCTGATTGTTTTGATCCATAAATTGACAATTACAAAAAGGCATGTGGTTAATAAGATTTTCAATGTTCTAGGTTTTTATATACAAAATATTGATTTAATATGTGGTTAATACAATTTTTGAAATAATAATTTTTATATTTTTCAACTATCTGATAAGCTGCAGTATCAGCGGTAGTTATAATAATATCAAAGTTATGTTTTCTTTTAAAAGAATATCAAAGCCAATTAGTTGCACAAGACGTACTTAGTTGTACAAAACCTATTAATGGACATGAATATATATTACGATTAAATGGTTATAGATGGAGAAAACAAACTTGGGAGGTTTGAGTTGCAGGATAATACAATGTGGACAAGTATTGTTTTGTACGATTCGTATATGCTTAGCAATTATATCTTTTTTTTTTTCCCAAATACTGTTTTTTGTAATCTAATTTTGCTCTATTTGGCACAGGGGAATATTTAGGACTGACTGGAGCAGGAGTTGATGGAGCAGAAATGCTTGCTTGTGGTTTGGCAACACATTTTGTTTTCTCTAAAGTAATTAGTTCTAACTATGAACAGATATGTTTTCCAGTACACTAAAAATTTTTTAATGGATGGAGAATCTCAATTATGAATTATTGGTATTTATATTACGAGTTAGGTATTTATCTATTAAATATAAAATAAATTATTAAATTCATGTCTACTTTATTTTTTTCTTACGAAATTTCTTTATTTTTTTATAGGATTTGCTTAATTTGGAAAATACACTCCAAACACAAACATCCTTAGAGATAGCAATGATTTGCAAAATTATTGAACAGTTTGCACAAAATCCAAAGATAAAAGAAGATTGCGCTTATAACAGGTAACTCATGACAAAGACGTATCTGGATATGCGACTTTAATGAACCACAAATGTAGTTTTGTTTCTGGCATAGTTTCGCAATAAATTTTTAATCTTTGTTAATAGTTTCTCTATTATTTCAAAATCACTAAAATTGCCAATTGAACTGGTGATTTCGAGTTAATTTCATTCTCAATAGTTAAAAGAGGAAAATTAAAATTAGACGGGTGAATCAATATTTTTCGGTCCAGTTTAAGATTAAATTACTTCATATATTTCAATTTGATATTTTGTTTTGATCTGATTTTAATTCAAATTGACCACGGTCGACTCTAAAAATATTATTTGAAATTAGAATTTGCATTCTCCTTCCTCTTCTCCCCTCACCCCTCTCCCCCCTTTCCAAACATTCATTTATCAATAGTGACCTTATGGGAAGATTAGTAAAGTCTAGTGATATTAAATAGTTCAAGATTTAGTGCTAACAATATTCCTTTATCATCTTCATTATATGAATTTGAAACCATATTTGCCTTCTGTCTTGTTAATTAGATCGGAGATTATTAACAAATGTTTCTCAAAAGGTGCTAACAATATTTCCTTTTATCATCTTCATTAAATATTCCTTTATCATCTTCATTATATGAATTTGAAACCATATTTGCCTTCTGTCTTGTTAATTAGATCGGAGATTATTAACAAATGTTTCTCAAAAGATACAGTTGAAGAGATCTTATTAGCACTTGTAAGTATAAAAAATAAAATATTTATTGTATAGCCCAATATTTAATTTAATATGTATTGTGTTATTTAATTAAATAACTATCTTTTCAAGATTATGAAATTTATATAAATAATCTATTGCTAGAAATTGATGTGCTACTATCTTTTCAAGACTATTTCTTATTTGATCCTAATTTCTTCACTTATTGCAGGAAAACGAGGTCAAATTGAAAAATAAAGCAGAAAATTGGATTATAAAGGCAATTAATTCTATGAAATTAGCTAGTCCAACAAGCCTTAAAATTACTCTAAAATCGGTAATATCTTTATTTTAAATATATATTTTTTAATTTTATCACTTTAATATTATAAATTTTTCATTTTCTAATTTATATTTTCAGATTAGAGAGGGACGACAACAAACTCTAAAACAATGTTTTATTCGTGAATATACAATTTCTTGTAACATTTTGCGAGGAACTGTTAGTAGAGATCTTCAACAATGTTTTATTCGTGAATATACAATTTATTATAACATTTTTCGAGGAACTGTTAGTAGAGATCATCTTGAGGTAATGTATAATTTAGATTTCATTATCTATATATAATTAATGGTGAGAGTATATATGTAATAAAGTTGTAAACAAACCAAATCATATTGAACTCAAATTTAACTAATCAAAGTTGAAGAACCAAGATGAGAATGCAAGCTGTTTTTAGTTTATTCTTAATAAAAATGTAATCCTTTTATAGCCTCAAATTAAAGTTCAATAAGCAGGTTTGACTTCAATTTATTAAGCAAAAGGATTTTCAATTTATTTATAGCTTTATATATATATAATTCTTTTTATTCAATTCTTTTAATTATTTCTGATCATTATATGTCTCTAAAGGGTTCAAGAGCTATGTTTTTTGATAAAGATAAAAAACCAAAGGTAATTTACTTATTTGGTAACTGTTAATAATTTATTTACGCTTGCAGTTATATATATATTTCTCTCTCCGAGTTAGTCCTTTTGCCTTCAAAGGAGAGCAGGGATTAGTTAGATTTATGGACAGTTAAAACGGACATCGGTTTTAATACCTCGTGCAAGTATAAAAAAAAAGAAGTTATATATACATATATAATTTTTAAAATATATATATATAATCTAATACATATATAATTTAAAAATTAATTTAAATTCTTCATTACACAATACATTGCCAGATATATTATACCCCTTTTTCACTTAAATTTATTTTTTATCTCTATGCAATTAAAGTGGGAACCTCGAAAACTGGAGTTAGTGAGCAAGGACATGGTGGATCGCTGTTTCAGTGCAATTGATGAGGATGATTGGGAATATCTACAACTTCCATCAAGGTTTGATGCAGTGGAAAAAATATTGCAGCCTAGACTTTGAAGTTTGAATGTTATGTACCGTTAAATATTAAAAATTAATAACTACTCTATAAATTATTATTCCATAGCTTAATATAGATACGATATATTATTAATTACATTGAGGCCTTTGGTTTGAAAGAAACAATAGGTTCTTCAATGTATCTGTTTGTATTGACACTTCTATGATAATTATTTCTTGTTCGAACAGCAGTCGCAGTAGTAGAATGCATTTGGATAAATCTCTTAGGCCATGTTTGATATGGTGTAATCAACCAAGTAATGGAATGAGAATTATATTACATGATTGATTATATATGTAATTTTCATTACTTAAATTGATTTAATATTCATTTCATAAAAAAAAAAAAAAACACATGTTTTAGTAAGTACATATAATACTAATTACATCAAGTCACTTTAGTCAAAACTGTACCAATACCACAATCGCTTGACCACCACTCCACCATCCCACCATCGCCTCAACCAGCACCACAACCATTCCACCATCACCATCATTCCTCCATCTTTACCACCACCACCACTCTATCACTAACACTACAACCACCACTTCAACACTCTACCACCATAATAAACATCCCAAAACCACCACCACTGCTTCACCACCACCATCATTGCACCACCACCACCACTCCACCAATGCTCTATCACCACTACCTCAACCACTCTATCACTGTCGACCACCACCACTCCACCAATGCTCTATCACCACTACCTCAACCACTCTATCACTGTCGTCACCACACTCCATCACCAACACCGCTTAATAAAAATTATATTTCTTTGGGTTACGTTCTTTTAATTTTTTAGTTCAAATAAATTTATAAATAAAAAGTCTTTAATAGCATAAATAGAAAATAGCTTTTAGTTCAAATATTTCTTTTGTATTAATAATGATGTGGTGGTGGAAGAGTGGTGTTTGAGGTGGTAGTGTTGAAGTGGTGGTTATGATGGTGGTTGTGGTGGTGGTGGTGATGGTGATAGAGTAGTGGTTGTGGTGGTGGTGGAAGAGTGGCAGTATTGGTGGTGGAAGAGTGGTGTTGATGGTATACTAATTACATTACATATTTACAAACAAATTTAAAAAAGGAATGATGGTTATATTCTATAAATTTTTTCAATTATATTACCAAACATAGTAATGAAATAGTAATTACATCCCATTACATTATATTTTTGATTGCATTATATCTTTAATTGCATTACATCAAACTAAATATAGCCTTAATATTTTTGAAGTGTGTAGAAAGTTGAGAGCTTTAAATGAAACAAATATATATCAACACTTTTTAACATGATGAACTATATATATATTGATATGGGCTTACTACTCCTAGAGTTTTGCGTGGCGTGTATGGATTTTGTAGTTTAGGATTACGACGGGCCTTGGGAGCTTTAAGCATACCTGGGCCTTAGTGCCGATTCGGCCTATGAATTTGGGTCGTGACAAAGTTGGTATCAGAGCCTGGTTTATAATTCTAGAAGTAACCGTGGAGTTATTACTGTCATGTCTTGATGTAATTTCACCTTGCCTCTTAAAATTCCAACGTGATTGTCTTTAGGGTCATATTATTAGAATTAGACTAAGGGATATAATTGATGTTAGTAGGATAGGAATTGTTATGTTTTTGATAAATTTTGTCTTATGATTTGAATTTCAGCATGGTGAATACCAGGAGAAGAGCATCCGATAATGCGAAGCGAGAGGCTCCAGATGAGGCTTCTTTCGAGCATCCAGCCCCAGGTAGACGACGAAGGGGTAGACTTGCTAGAAATCTAGTTATAACCTAGAGAACAAGCCAAAAGCAGGATTGATGGTAGTAAAACCACCATCTAATGCTAAATTATGTCCACTCACATACTTAGACTCATCACTTCCTAAATAAATAGCAGCTTGTGCTACATCTTCTTCTATAAGCTTCACTCCTTTAAGATTTGAATAAACACCAGACTTTCTGTGACATCCTACCGAGTCGAGTCTTAGCATAGAGTCGAGTTGAGTCGAGTTGAACCAAACCCGGTTGGGGTAGAATGGGATTCTAAGTGGACTTACTTGAGTGAGAGAAAAAGATCAAAGCATATGGGTGAGGATTTATTTGCATTATTGCATTAAAAGACCAAGCTTGAGTCTTAAGTTGTAGCCTGTTCACAATTGAGGTACCATTTAGTAAGTTTTACATAAAATTCATTGATAATTTGGGAACCTACCCGTGAGCTCCATGACACTTTCCCATTTTCATCTTTATCTTCATTTTCTTCATTTTCTTCCTTTCCTCTTCCACCTTCCTTTCAATTTTAAGCCCTAACTTCAACGTCTCTTCTATCCAAGTAAGTAAACCTTCTTGAAGTTCATAATTGAATCATTTGGTGCTATTATTTTAGAATTCATAAGAATTCTTATTTATAGGTGAAGAGTCAATAAGAATTCTTATTTATAGGTGAAGGGGAGTTCAAAGAGTGTAGAAAAAAGAAGCTAGAAGAAGCTCAAGCTTTTTGGAGTAAAGGTTTGATATCTTTTTCAAATTTACCATTTTCTTTGGCATGAGAATTTGTGTGGTGGTGTTTGCTAAAAATGAAGACAATATTGCTTCATGTTGAAGTGGGAGGAACTGGTAAATGGTGAGAAAAACAGGGGAGGAAATTGAAATAAATGAAGTAATAGTGAGTTTAATGCTGAAAACAGTTTGCTGGAAATTTTACCAGTAACTTCATCTTGATTTTGACCCCATTTAATGATGAATTAGGAAGTGTCATAGAAAAGAGTTTATTTGTTCCTCTATGTGTTAGCTTTACATGGGTTTTTTTTTGAATCAATCCAAATAGGATTGTATATTGAGAGATATGACCAAAAAGAGTAACGACTGTGCAAGGCTGGAAAACGCGACGCGGCGCGCGCAATGCATGACGAGCTCGCGCTGCACTTTCTCGCGCTCGCGGATTTGCAACTGCGCGCTCGCACTTTTCACCTGAAACTCTCTGACTCTCATTTGGCAATTCTCGCACTCGCGACCTGTTCCAAGTGCGCGCTCGCGACTTGGCCTTGGGCCCTGTAAGCGCTCGCGACCTTCATCGCGCGCTCGCGAATTTGGCCTGGGAAAACTCAACTGTCTCTCATTTTGCACTCTACGCGCTCGCGACTTTCAAGTGCGGCGCTCGCGACTTTGTGCCCGGATAAACTCCACTGTTCTCTCATTTGGTGCTTTAACGCGCCTCGCGCCTTGCAAGGCGCGCTCAGCGACTTGTGTTTTCCTGCACTTTTGGACTTCATTTTCAAATGCAATTGTATTCCTTTGCTTCACTTATGATGCCTCCAATCATTTTAACACCAAAAAATACAACATGAGGAACATGTATCAAAAAACAACAATGCAAGCATACAAATGATGTGAAATCAAATAAACATTATGAATTTTGAAGTTATGAACTATGAATAATGATGTTGTGTTATATTTTATTGACAATACCAACATTAATGCTTCCGTTGAGGTAGGTAGAACCATGTAGATAAGGCCTATGTGCGACATAAGGAATATAGCAAGATCTGCACCCATAAGTTTGGTACTCCGGCTAAAGGCCATTGAGTGGATATGATTATATATGCAGCCAAGCATACAGTTTCATCCAGTTTCATCCAGTTTCATACAGTTTTTCTTATCACTTGGTTTCACTATAACCTTATGGAGCCTTACAGATATATCTTGACATAACATTTCATGAATCATACAGTCTTATCACCCAGTACGAAAGATAATCAAGGTATAAGGAAAGGATCATGCTATATGTGCTTATATGTTTAGTTATCCATATGCATTTACATGCTCATTTTATCTATGTATGTGCTTAACTGTTTCTTTATGTGTTGAGATATCCACTGAGCTTTATTGCTCAGCGAGTTACCTGTTTAACTCGCAGGTTTTGAGATTGGACCGTAGAGAGTCAGCCTGCAACTGCTGCAGTTCATCTGTAGAAGACTCAGTATTCAGGGTAGCTACTCATTTGGATATGTATTTTTTTGTCTACCCTTTTTATGGCATGTACAGGCTAGCCTTTTCAATGGCATGTACAGGGCACAGTCAGTTGGGCCCATTTCACTTCTTTGGTAAACTAGTAACATGTCTTGTAAATATTAATATACATTAGTTATGTTCAACAACATCAAAGCATGATATTATATTAATATATCATTATGATTTCAGCATGTCTAGGACGCCATACAGTGTTATGATTTCAGCATGTCAGGCCATACAGTGAACCAGTTTGTAGCGTCTCGGTTCGGTTCATTCGGGTTTACGGGTGGACCGGAAAGGGGTGTTACACTTTCCTTCTTCTTTCATGTTGAAAAAATTCATACTCAACGGCGTTTCAATAAAATAAGGGGATAAGCAGTTCACCCTAATTCCGAACTAGCCAAGCTCCGACGCTGCATTTTTTGCTAGACCTATGACTCCATGCTTTGTACTAGTGTATGCATGAGATGCCACACCACCTACACTTGAGCAAACGCTGCCTAGTGTAATTATACTCCCTTGTAGAGCAGGAATCATCACTCGAGCTGCATGTTTGGTTCCTAAGAAAACTCCAATTAGGTTCACCTTAACAACTCACTCAAATTTTGCTATGTCATTGTCAACTATGCTCGGTTTACGAGGATCAGCAATCGCAGCGTTGTTCACCATTATATCAAGTTTTTTGAAAATAGAAATCGCAGTATCGACTGCGTTTTCAATGTCAGATTCTATTGTCACATCACAATGTACAAAAATCGCCTTATCGCTACCGAGTTCTTTGGACAGTGATTGACTGAGATCATCTTGAATGTCGACGATTATTACTTTAGCTCCATGTTTGCAAAAGGTTCTAGCAATGGATGCACCGATGGTAGTAGCGCCTCCGGTTATCAACGCAACCTTACCTTCAAGTCTAGAGTATTCATGTTTTTTCAAGAAATGGATACATTAATTTGGGCAAGTCGTTAAAAAATCTAAAGTTTACGAGTTTTAATTTGCACCCTAAATTCAACTTTGTTCTCCTAATACTCTAATAGTTAACTTTATTTATAATAATGCCTTAATCTCAAATTGTATCAAATTTAATGAATAAAACATTATTTTCGTGGAACCCAATTTAACTTTTTTCCCCAAATCAGACTCATTTCTTATCACCACTGCTTATACATAAATAAATATTAAAAT